GGATGTACTGGACCTGGAGCGGGTTCAGAGGAAGTTCACGAGGATGGTCCCAGGAATGGAAAGCTTAACATATGAGGAACGTTTGAGGACTCTGAGACTATACTCATTGGAGTTTAGAAGGATGAGGTGGGATCTAATTGAAACCTTCAGAATACTGAATGGCCTGGACAAAGTGGATGTTGGGAAGATGCTTCCATTGGTAGGAGAGTCTAGGACCCGAGGGCACAGCCTTAGAGTAAAGGGACGACCTTTTAGAATGGAGGTAAGGAGAAACTTCTTCAGCCAGAGAGTGGTGAATCTATGGAATTGACTGCCACTGAAGGCTGTGGAGGCCAGATCATTGAGTACATTTAAGACTGAGATAGATAGGTTCTTGATTATCAAGGGGATCAAGGGTTACGGGGAGAAAGCAGGAGAATGGGGTTGAGGAACTTATCAGCCATGATTGAATGGCGGAGCAGACTCGATGGGCGAATGGTCTAATTTCTGCTCCTATGTCTAATGGTCATATGGTCTAAGTTTGTATAAACAATATCCATGTACATTCTCCTCACCACTATTTCAGCCACCTCTACAAGAAATTTAGTGAGGCTTGCCATGAATCCAAGTTGGCTCTCCTTGATTAGCTGAAAATTTTCGAGATATTCAGTTAACCCATCCTTACTTAAAGGCTCCAACAATTTCCCCACCACAAATGCTAGGCTAACTGGACAGTAATTCCCTGGTTTTCCTCTTTCATTCTTCTTAAAAATCAGAGTAACATGTGCAATTTTCCCACCTAGAGAGATGATTCCTGTATCTAAGGAACTCTGAAAGATTATCATTAGGGCATCTACAGAGTGCTCCTCTATTTCCTCTAATGGCCTCAGGTGGAAACCATCAGGTCCTGAAGATTTGTCACTCTTTATTTCCATTTATTCCTTTATTATCATTGTTTCACTTAGTTTAATTTTATTCAATCCTTTCCCCGAATCTGCTATGAATTTCCTCAGGAGTTCCAGCAGACTAACCTCCCTTTGTACCATAAACACTGAGGCGAAGTAATTTTTCAACATGTCTGCTTTATCCCCACAGTCACTAATAATATCCTCTCTTGTAGTCTTTAGTGGGCCAACATTGTTCCTGACCAAGATAACAAAGTGTGGAGCTGGAGGAACACAGCAGGCCAGGCAGCATCAGAGAAATAGGAAAGCTGAT